GCAGGCTGCAGTGTAGAGTCCCATAGAGCTCTGTGAACTAGGAGAGCTAGTCACGTGACTGACAGGTCACATGACACGGTTTTCCTCATGGATTTGTATCTACTTTACCATTAATTTTTATAGCACCCTGCCAGCTTCAAGCTCTCAAAGCCAATGTATAATTTGCAGTGTAGTGTAGTTTTTAAGGTCGCGGCCCCCCCCTGTGCACTTGGTACCTTCCTGAGCACATGTGCGCAGGAAGGTTTTTTCTTTTCTGTACATTGACTGAACTTTCTTTAACCCAGCAGCAGTGGTGCACAGCTGCTGGACGTAAAGGTAAGGAGGGGGCTTAGTAGAAGTGTGGAAAAAGTTTAAGAAGGCCTGGTGTACATGACAGTGCAATAATTCCATTTTATCTGCTTTGGATGCAGCGTGTACTATTGAAAAGCATTCGAACTGCACACAAAGCATGGCACACATAGCCTTTTCAGGGCAAACGCTGTTTTCACAGGCTTGAATTCAACAGGGTTATTCACAAAAGGGTGAAGAGTTTGGAGAAGGCAGGAGAAGTGAACAATCTAGGACAGGGGTCCTCAAACTACGGCCCGCGGGCCACATCCGGCCCGAGCCTGGCTTCCTGATTGGTCAGGAAGTCAGGCTGCCTAGAAAAAAGTGAAGCCGGCTTCCTAGCCAATCAGGAAGCCAGGGGGTGGGTCAGAACGTGCTGCCCAGCTTACTGATTGGTTAGGAAGCCAGGCTGCCTACCAACTGAAGCTTGCTGCCTAGCCAATCAGGAAGCTGGGCAGTATGTCATGACCCGCCTCCTGTCTTCCTGATCCGGCCCCCAACAATGTCTGAGGGACAGTAATCTGGCCCCCCGTTTAAAAAGTTTGAGGACCCCTGATCTAGGACAACATAGCTGAACTGGAAACATTCTCCAATTCAGCTATGTTGTCCTAGATTGTTCACTTCTCCTGCCTTCTCCAAACTCTTCACCCTTCTGAGAATAACCTGCAAATGTGCCTTCTGTGTCTGATAAGATTGTCACTTCCTGTGAAATTAAAAGGAAGCACAACGACACAGCCTTTCTGGCAAGGTCAACAGGCATTTTCTGTACCTGCTGAAAATGTTCTGATCCTGAAAAAGGAAAACCGCAACCGCCCCATGGTAAGCTCCAATATATTTCATTTTTGTTCTTTGGTTTAGATACATAGTATTTGAGGTTGAATAAAGACAGACACATCAAGTCCGACCTATTGCAGATTGCTATATGGCAGATTGCTAATTAACATTACTGTTAAAACACCATGAGGGGAATTTATCGAAAGTGGAGCAGACAGTATTCGGAGCAGTTGCCAAAAATCACCAGCTTCTATCTTCAGTTTGTTCAGTTAAGCTTTGAAAATGAAAGAAGCTGATTGGTTGTCATGCACAACTGCCCCAGAATTTGCTCCAGTTTGGATAAATCCCCCTCCATGTATCCTAATGAATTGCCATGTTTAACTAAACCTTTTCTCCACCCTTTGTGGCATCTCAGTGCTGCCCCTTTGTGGCCACTTACGGACTTCATGATGATTCTTCATGGTGGCAACAGTGGGCCATACTTTCAAAATGTGTTGAAATTGCCACTCATATTCTCCATTGAAAGCCCATGTAACGCACCTTGAAAAAGCCTGAACAAGGGCTGGTATGGAAGGATCTCCAGGTATTATTGTGATGAATAGTTTTGAGGATTTAAAAATTACAAAAACATGTTAAAGTTATGAGTTTTTAGTGGGGATGCACCTATACTAGTATCAGTATTGAAACCGAGAATTTGGGTATTTGAATACTTGTACTCACCCAAATGCTCAGATACCTGACCTTCTGGTCAGAGAAAGGATTTCCTTTGACCGGCAGTGCCCTGAGGGAACATGGAGCCTGCTTTCCAGCCAATCAGGAAGCCGGGCAGTGGGTAAGGACTCGCAGCCCGGCTTCCTGCCATTTGGCCGGGAAGCCAGCTTCATGTTACCTCGCGGCACTGCCGGTTACAGGAAATCTGCCTCTGACTGGAAGCCGGCTTCCCATTCAATCAGCATGGTGCCGGCTTCCTGGGCAATCAAAAAGCCGGGTGGTGGGTAATGAAACGCCACCCGGCTTCCTGCTTGCCCAGGGAGCCGGCTCCATGCTAGCGGTAATCGTACTCGATCCCGAAAAACCGGTATTGGTTTATTACTAGTTTTCAATCATTGGGCTTACATATACTTGAGTGTATACAGATTGTGGATATATGGGCATACTGGCAAATTTCAAGTAAACCATTCAAGTATTCTTTAAATATAAACCATTTACTTCATCCACAGTACCAAATATGCTCATCTGACCTAGGAGTTTTATACTTTTTTTTCCTCATGTCCCTTTTAATTGCAAGGCTTTCTGGCATTTTGTAAAATGCAAAACAAGTAAATAATCATTAAAGAAAAGCAACACAACATTTAAAAAGAGAATCAACTATAAATAGTAGGTTGCAGCAATTTGATGGAAAGGTAATACTGTAGTAATTGTGGTTTATAGCTCAGATCACAGAATCTTAATTCATTGATCAAGAATTATTTTGCAGTACATGTAAACATGACGAGTGTAAAGACCTCCATTAAATATACTTTGCACATATGCTGGCAACATAATCCCAACGCAATTTTTCTACACACTCAGGCAAACTAGTAACTTGTATTAGGAAACCTGTATGTACATCTGGGCTAGTTGGCTCTTCCATGCCTGCATTACAAGAACCTGTAATTATTAGTATTTCAATTTTTGTTCTTTTAATGGGACCCTAAAATGCCACAGCAATAAGCCTGCCTATGGTCACCTTTTATAATGACAGGATGAACAAAACAGTAGTCTGGACACAGACAAGTGCATACAACAAAGAGAAGAGACGGGTTTAGGGAACAGCAAACAATCAGAACTCCTCCTTCTCGTATACAAACTTTTAAGGCAAGTCCATTTTGAGATTGCTATGAATTACTACACATCATTATTTTTCTTTGAACTGCTTGAATAACTAGCTGAATCCCAGCTGGCTCCTGCGCTAGGGCTGCAACAACTAATCGACTAAGTCGATTATTGAAAAAGTTGTCAACGTTTTCAATCGACTACCGATTAGTTGGCCCTGTTTACAGCTCAACACACGCTGCGCACTGCACCTTCTCCCCACCTCACGCTCGCCACTGCCAAACCTGCCCGCCCGCATCCACACCTCCTCACGCTTACTGCCCGCCCGCATCCACACCTCCTCCCCGTCTCACGCTTACTGCCCGCCCACATCCACGATCGACACAGGGACGGGAGAGAAGTAAGGAGGAGCAGGTGTGGGGGGGTGACAGCTGCCGATAGACAGGCCCGATCTCAGAAGCAAGTTGCTGGAAGACTGCTCAGGTAAGCCTGCACTCCCACCCCCCCCACATGGTGCTCTATAATGTATTGCTGGGATTTGTATTCCTCTATAGCTGATGGTACATTGTGCTATATATTATACATAGGAATACAAATCCCAGAAATACATTATACACTGTATGTATAATGTATTGCTGGTATTTGTTGTATTCCTATATAGCTGGTGGTATTCTGCATTGCGCTGTATAGAGGACTACAAATCCCAACAATAATACATTATACAGTGGTGCAATGCCGTATACCCCCCAGCTATAGAGGACTACAAAACCCAGCAATAGTACATTATACAGCGCAATGCAGAATACCACCAGTTATAATGTACTATTGCTGGGATTTGTTGTATTCCTCTATAGCTGGTGGTATTCTGCATTGTGCTGTATAATGTACTATTGCTGGGTTTTGTAGTCCTCTATAGCCGGTGCCATTCTGCATTCATTGCTGTATAATTTTACACTTTCCATTTCACTATATTGCACACCACACTATCTTTTTTTCTTTTTTACTTCCACCGCTCCAAGCTTGCTCCTGTGATGGACTACAATCGCAATACAAACTAGTAATCCATCACTGGAGCCATTTTTTAAAATTTATTTTAGTTTTTATCCGATTAACCGAACTTAATAAAATCGGCTAACTAATCGATTTTGAAAATAATCGTTAGCTGAAGCTCTATCGTACTCCACTCCAGAGATGGAATATCCGTTGGTGTCCATACATCCTATAAACCAGGGGTAGCCAAACTCCGGCCCTCCAGCTGTGGTGAAACTACAAATCCCATGAGGATCTTGCAATGCCTCAAGGGATTTGTAGTTCCACCACAGCTGGGGGGCCGGAGCTTGGCTACCCCTGCTATAAACTGTGTAGCACATGATGGCTCACTGACAGCTGGAGCAAATGGGGAGCCAGGCAGAAGGGACCGCTCAAACAGCCAGCCGGAATCTGGTCCAGGTGAATATAACGCTTTTTTTTAGCTCTCCAGACAAAACGAGCACTTAACCTTAGCAGTGCGGGGGTAGACCCACTGCAAGGGTTAAGATTTTACTTGCCCAGAGTTCTTTAATACAGGAGTGGACAAATCAATATGGAATTCAGGAGCCAGTGTGTCCCATCTAGGAGCCAGCAGGATTTTTTAAAAACATTTTTTTAGGATCCAGCTCCATTGACAACAACTAGAGAAAACCACAAAAGTTAGACACCAGCTGTCATTTTTTAGGACCATTGGCCATCTGGCTCCTAGGAATTGTCCAGCCCTGGTTTAATCAAAGTCTGTTACACTAATGATCTTTACTAACAAGTAAACGATTTAATCATGTGAGCAGCAATGTTGTGCCTGTGGTAACTCTGTTACAGGTGCCACTAAACGTGCTACGGATGTAGCACTATGGAGGACAAAGGGTAGGAATAAAAACAAACAAAAAAAAATTACAGCATTTACAGGTACGTCTTGACTCCCACACAAGACACATTTGGATATGATAATTCATATTAAACAATTTCAAAATATTTATGATTTGGATTTTAAAATATTTTAGCGGCAACAATCTGCCAGCATTAAAAATATATTTTCTATAGAAACAAAATTTCTAAATCTGAAATAGACCTAAAAAATTATTTTTTCCGTTTCGTTTTAGCTTTTGGTTCTGCAAACTGCTGGCTGTCAGCATGCAACACGTTTCTGTCCTCAGCCAAGCTAGCACCATAATCACTATCAGCTAACACATTAGCAAGATGTTTCCTTTTGTGTTTCTTTTGCTTTGGGATCTCTTGATGGATTGTGAGGTCATCGAGCAGAGATTGTTGTGATGTAAAGTCTTGGCCGTTAGGGGATTCTAGAGTGGAGTCCTCAATGGAAGAAGACAGTTTGTGTTTTTTCTTGTGTTTCTTTTGCTTTGGGACCTCTTGATGGATTGTGAGGTCATCGAGCAGAGATTGTTGTGATGTAAAGTCTTGGCCGTTAGGGGATTCTAGAGTGGAGTCCTCAATGGAAGAAGACAGTTTGTGTTCTTTCTTGTGTTTCTTTTGCTTTGGGATCTCTTGATGGACTGTGAGGTCATCGAGCAGAGATTGTTGTGATGTAAAGTCTTCTCCGCCGTTAGGGGATTCTAGAGTGGAGTCGTCAATGGAAGAAGACTGTTTGTGTTTTTTCTTGTGTTTCTTTTTCAAGTTTTCAGCTTCTGCCTTCATGTCCTCCAACGCAGTATCCTCTATAAAGGATGGCCCTTCTGCTATTCCATTCTGAAAACTTTCATTAAGTCCTCGATCACAATTATCCTTATGTTTCTTTTTCTTTTTAGGCTGTTCCCGACTAGAAGAAACCAAGGATTCATTGTCAAAGGCCAATATATGGATTTCTTCATCCCTGATGGTATTGTCAATATTGACACTAGGCAAGCTATCATGTCGTTTCTTCTTTTTCCGTGCTTTATGAGAAATATTATCAACCGACTGGTCTAAACTTTCAAGAGCACTGCTCACTGCAGGAATATTCTCTATGGAGGTATCAACCTGAGCAAAGTCAGTCTGAGAATTTATTTCCTGGTATTTTCTCTTTTTACATTTTTTCTTAGGTATTTCTTCCAAGGTTGCGTTGATCTCACCTGAAACCTCTGGGTTTCCGGGAACATCTTGTAGAAGTGTTTCCTTAAAGGCACTTTTCTTGGCTTTTTTCTTTGGCGTCTCTTCGGGGATCATTTTTTGCTCAGGGTCTGCCCAGTCTTCTGCAGCATTTTCAGTATCGGAAGAATTGTCCTTTGTTGGCTCCTTAGTTGCCTCATTTAACTTTTCTATGGCATCATTTTCCATCCTATATAAAACAAGACAGGACAAAAAAAAACAAATTTTGTTATCAAACACAGACTATCATTTAAATGTTTTTTTCCTGTAGCAAAAAGGCTTCACATTAACAGAACGCTCAGATGTGTTTGACCCCTTTTAACATGTTTTGAGTGTTTTTTTATGCAGGTTTATGCATTTGAGGTATGTTTGTGTTTTAGCATACATGCATGTGGTGGTGCGGGGGTCAAAGCAACTACGTATACACAAAATTATGTCTTGTAACAAACTTACAAAAGCAAAAAAATATGCAGCAACACTTTCACCTCACTCCTCTACTGCTTCATTCAGCAGTCAGGAGTGAAGAACCTTTTACATATAGTAAACTATAGATATGGTAAATTAAATATATAGATTTCTTAGTAGCATTAAACACTTTCATATGAGGCTAGAAAATATACTGATCATTGAACAAAAAGGGAACTTGTTAATGACAAAAGAACATTTGACAGTTAAGCTGGCCACCCACATAATTTCTTTCGATTAATCAGATAAAAAAAAAAAAAAAAAAATCAAAAAGTAAAAACACCATCCTTAATTTCAAATAAAATACACAAATGCAGTGTTTACTTCAGAATAAAATTGCATGTACAATTTTTTGGCATTGCGGTACCGTGCGTTCCAGTGCAGGCGATCACACTGTTGGTGGGAGGCGCGTTTGGGGTGCCATTGAAATGAATGCAAGGCACCTCCCGCAGAAGAATTTGTCAGGCCAAAACCAAAAATTACTTTTTCCCACCTTTTAAAAAATGTTTTATTAAATTGTATTGTAAGCACATGACACTTGAATAGCTTGAACAAGCCGGTGAGAAAATCTTCGATCAATCAGAGCTGACAGCCAACGTGCTGGCAGCCAATGAGCTGCCCGCTCTGGTCGGGTATTCTGACAAGTGCCGGCGGCACCTGTCAGAATACAATGTAAACAGCGGGATTCCTCGATCGACATGCCTGTTTGTGTTGGAGTAATCGGGTCTATTTCTTAATTCAGCCTGCGGGTTGATAGATCAGTGTATGGCCAACCTTAGATTATTTTTTTCTGATGGATGAAATCTAAACTGTTATATAATCAACCAAACTGTTTGGCAGAGAACTCCTCGAAATTGCTTACAGAGGTACAAATTCCTTTGAGCCTGTCACCATACTATTCATTAGAACAAAAATCTTCTCATATGATTAGATATACATTTTGCATATTATTTACCAGTAAAAGCCTGCCTTGTGGAGACAACCAAAAACCTGACACTTCTGCTGGCTTCCACCATCTTGGTCGTGATGTCAGCAGCCCCCAACAGACAGAGCTGTTACTCAAGTGACCCTCTAGATCAGGGGTGGCAAACACAAGGCCCGTGGGCCGAATCCGGCCTGCGGGACCTTGTAATGTGGCCCACACAGCAGCCACCTCATTTTGCTCCGTCTCCTCCTCCGCCCTGTCTCATGGCCCTATGTCAGGCCTCAAAATTTCCACTCGCCCCCTCGCAATTGGCGAGTGAAAATTGCGGAGGGAACGCTGACAGGTGTGATCATAGCTGCCTCTCTGAGTGCCCGCTTCCTGGAGCTGGAGCTGTCGGGAGAGGAGGTGATCGTTCAGCGGTGTGATTCTGAGCAGTCTTAAAGAGGCCCCCCCTCCCAGTCCACATCTTTTGGACGTTATTAATCTGAGTTGCCCCACTCAGTATGCCCCTCGCTTGCGGCCATATTGAGTGGGGCACTCATTAATAACGTGCTGGATTAGTCTGACCCAGGGGCGGACTAGGCCCGAGGCAGGGTGGCAATTGCCCCCCAAGCCTCTCTGATACCTTTGCAAACGCCCCCCGCCATGGCAAGGACTTCATCTCTCCTCTCTTGGCCGCTGCAGCAGCAGAGCGACCGAGAGGGGAGAGATTAAATGCTTATGGCGGCGGTGGGGGGCGTTTGCAAAG